GAGAAAGAATACTTTCAGTGCATTTTATGGGGTTAGTATAACCTGATACCAAAAGCAGACAAGGACATCACACAAAAGGAAAATCATAAGCCAATTAATTAATGAATGTAAATACAGAAATTCAAACAAAACACCATAAGTGGAATTCAATATATCATAAGCAAAATTGTGTTTGTTCTAAGAATTTCAAGGTTGGGTTAATATTGCAGGATAGAAGACTGTGGGATGACGTATTTCTTTATTTTTTAAATATGTTTTTATTGATTTTTTTTTTTTTTTTTTTTTTTGAGACAGGAAGGGGGAGGTAGAAACATTGATGTGAGAGAGAAACATCGATCTGCTGCCTCCTACACACCCCCTACTGGGGATCAAGCCCACAACCTGGGCTTGTGCCCTGACCGGGAATCCATCTGGGACTTCTCAGTCCATGGGGCAATGCTCAGTCCACTGAGCCACACCAGTGGGCTTGTATTTAAAATGCTGAGGGAAAAAAACCCTGCCAACCAAGAATTCTATGCCTGGCAAAACTATCCTTCAAGAACAAAGAAAAAATTAAAACATTCCCAGATAAACAGTAGCTGAGGGTGTTTATCACTAATAGACTTTCCATACACGGAATGCTGAAGGGAGTCTTTCTCAGGTTTACTGCAGACCAAATGAATTTACTTTATGGAGTAGGGCCAAAGAATATACATTTTTAAACAAAACCCATGGATTTTTATAAACCGAAAAGAAAAGAACAAAAAAACAAAAACCTCACAATGAGATAATGTTTTCCATTCAGCAGATTGGTAAAAACTAAAAAAAAAAAAGTCCTATGATATCAATTGTTCCAGGATTTGCTACAGTCTTCTTGGTGGATTGTAAATTGGTACTCCCACTTTGGAAAATAAGTTTGGCATTACCTGGTAAAGTTGAAGATGTATAGATCATATAAACCACTAGCAGAAGCTCTTCTGTCTGCAATAGAGAACATATATAAGAGAGTTTACACTGGCTGTTTGTAATAGCAAAAAAACAGACATGTTTATTGAGAAGAGAAAAGGTTTAAAAGTGTGTGTGAAAATGAATGTATCAACATGTAGAGTCCAAAAATCAAGTAGTTTAATAAAGAACTTTCATAATTTATAAGATACATTTATTTAGGGAAGTATACAAGAAAAAGGGGAATGATAAACAGTTGAGTGCAGTGGATAACTTTGGAGGTTGGGGGAGAGAGGGACACAGTTTCAACGGTTTTGGTGATGTAAACTAAGAGATGGTTACATGGATATTGTTTTCTTTTTAATAATTTTTTATTTTTCAATTACAATATGATATTACTTTCAGGTGTACAACCCAGTGATTAGACATTTGTATAACTTACAGAGTGGTCACCCTGATAAATCTAGTACCCATCTGACACCATACATAGTTATTACAGTGTTACTGACTATATTCCCCAAGCTATACTTTACATCTCCATGACTATAAACTGTAAGTACCAATTTGTTCTTCCAAATCTCTTCAACTTTTTTATTCTTCTTCCCCAACTCCCTCCTATCTGGTAACTGTTCCAAATGAAAGAATAGAGAATACTCCAGAAAAAGGACTAAACAAAATGGAGACAGGCAATCTACAAAATGCAGAGTTCAAAACATTGAAGAGCAGAGGAACTTAGTGAGAACTTCAACAGAGAGATAGTAAACATAAAAATAGAGATAGAAAACTAAAAAGAACCAGTCAGAGATGAAGAATATACATTAACTGAAATGAAGAATACATTAAAGGGAATCAATAGTAGATGAAGCAGAGGATTAAATCAGTGATTTGGAAGATAAGGAAGCAGAAAACAGCCTATCAGAACAGCAAAAAAAAAAAAAAAAAAAATCCAAAAAAATTAGTATGGTTGTAAGGATGTGTAGGCCAAAATCAGCCACTGCCTATGCCCTGCCTGGGACCACCAGGTGTGAGCAACAAAGCCATTTTCAGATGGTGGCTAACTTCTGCTGGGCTTGAAGATGCCCAGGAAAGGCCAAGCTGCAAACTAAGTCCAGTTGATGCTAGAGCTATGCCTGGGACCACTTAGGAAGATGTGTGGGGCACACCAAGGCCAGATGCTTCTTGAGTTTTGTGAACCTTGGATAGATTTTTGGAAAGTTCCAAGTGTGAGCCAAGATGAGACATTGTATGGAAAAGCCACTGGAAATGGCTGGGGTGGGCCTGCATGTAGATGCCGTTAGAGTTTCAGAGAATTACCAGAGCAGAGGAATACGGTTAACCTGGTTAAGGGAGACTCAAATATAGTGATCACCTGCCGGGTTGTGTTGGGGAGGGTTCAGGACAGGAACAGTGTTCTCTGCCTGCACTTCTGTTTTGGAGAAAGCTGCCCTTTCAGCCCTCGCTGGACAATTCAGTGTTTCGCCGTAAGTCACTGGCACCTTTCTAGCTGCTGCCCCAGCACTGGAGCTCAGAGCAAGTGAGTCCAAGTAAGTTCATGAGGACTCTTTAAGAGGAACACCAGGGACTCTAGCAGCATTCCATCTTTCTCTTCCACAATCTGCTGATTTTTTTTTTTTAGTGTCAGAAGTTATGGGGACTTTTCTTCCTGGCACTGAAACCTGGGCTGGGGGTCATGGTGTGGGGCTGGGACTCCTTGCTCCTCAGGGGGTTTCTCTATAGCCAGATTTCCCTCCAGACTTTTTTTTTTTTTTTTTTAATCCTCACCCGAGGACATTTTTCCATTTTTTGTACAGATAGAGTGGGAGGGAGAGAGAGGAAGAGACAGAGAGAGAGAAACATCGACGTGAAGGGACACATCGAGTGGCTGCCACCGCACGACCAACCAGGGCCGGGGACAAACTGCAACCGAAGTACGTGCCCTTAGCGGGAACCGAACCTGGGTCTCTCCGGACCACAGGCCGATGCTCTAACCGCTGAGCCAAACCGGCCAGGGCTCCCTCCAGATTTTTAACTATCACACGTGGCTTTGGCACCAGCCCATTCTGTGTCTCCACCCCTCCTACCAGGCTTGATGTGGCTTTTTTATATCCTTAGTTGTATAACTTTTGTTCAGCTAGATTTTAGGTGGTTCTGAGAGATGGTTGTTCTATAGTTTAATTGAAATTTTGATGTGATTATGGGAGGAAGGGAGTGCTGCATTTACCTATATACCATCTTGTGTTTTATTTTCTTACTACCTCATTTATGTTATTTTACATGTATCAAATAATAAAAATATATAAAGTATATATAATATATAACACCCATGCTATGCTACTTTTGGAAAGAATTATATGTCTATGTGTGTTATGAGTCAATGCAGACTTGTCCCCCACCATAGCATTTATTACTATCTAACATACACAGTTTTCTATTTTTTGTTTTTTGTTTTTGAGGTTGAGAGCATGAATGTCTCTTCCAACTTGAAAATGAAATACATTAGGGCAGAAGTTTTTTGTTTTTTAACATTATGTTCACTGCTGTATCCTAATAGTTCCCAGATAGTGACTAGGACATAGTACATGCTCAACAAGTATTTGTTAAGTGAATGAATGAATGAATGAGTATGTGTATTACAAAACCTACTGTGTGTGTGTATTGACATATTTAAAGAGCTGGAATTCTACACACCAAATTAAACTGTCAGTAGGTGAGTAGAATTAGGAGTTGGTCATATCTGAGTGAATTGAGACTATATGCACTTTGTGTAATAATTTTGTGTATTTTTTAATTAAAAGGGGGGAACATCTTGAAATTAAGAATCAAATTGTAAACTTGGAAAAAAATAGTAAAAATAGAACATTGATGAACCTAAACAAACAGCTTAATTTTGAGAATTATTTTGACAAAGTAATTGGATTGAAACTAGAGTGGGGTCTAGGCTAGCATCATTTCAGCATAACGTGTAACTAGGCTGGTAACACTTTCTCTGAGTGTTTTTATAGGAGCCTGTTGCTAGTATGGGTCTCCAGAAGGGAAGATCAGTCTGGAGTGAGTCGGGGCAGGGTGTGCTATGAATACTTTGAGGGTAGAGTAAAGTAAGTAGTGTTCTGTGGAACTCTTGACATATCTGGTGTACAGATAAATAAAATTTAAATTGTTTCAGAAGTGCTTTGCCTTTATCATTCACTCTTTGATGATTCTTTGGCCAAACTCAATAGGCACAAGCCCTCACATTCCTCCTTACCACAACCAACACCCTCTTGGTGATAATAGAATGGTCATATCAGACATTCCTGCGCTGCTTTGACATTATCCCTTTCTAATGCAGCTTCTAGATCAAGAGAAGTATTTATAGATGTTTGTCTCCACTTTGTTATGATGGTCCTTTTTTACAAGTGTGTAAATACATCTGTTTTATTCAAATCTTAGATTATTCTTAGAGTGAAAATGTGGATGTCATTAAAACACAAAAATATAATATTTATCTAAATGATTGAATGTGCTTAGGACAGAAGTCTGTGACCACGTTTGGCTCATTTTTTTATTTCAGAAGGGGAAGCTGGTCAGAGGCATGTGGATATGAGCTCAGTTAAGAAAGGGTTTTGGCCATTGGCTTGTTTTTGTTTTTTGTTTTTTTTAATCCTCACCCGAGGACACTTTTGCATTTATCTTCAGATAGAGTGGGAGAGAGAGAGGGAGGAAGAAACATCAATGTGAGAGAGACACATCGACTGGCCACCACCCACACGACCCCAGTTGGGGCCGGGGACAATCCACAACCTAGGTACATGCCCTTAGTGGTAACTGAACCCAGGACTCTCTGGTCTGCGGGCCAACGCTCTAACCGCTGAGCCAAACTGGCCAGGGCTGGCCTGTTATATACAAGGGAAATTAAATCTTGCAGTATATAAGCCCCCCCCCCCCCCCATTCACTCACTTGAAACCTATACTTTAGTTTGAGCTGCTGAATTTTGAAGTGTTAAAAATGATTCTTATTTTTTAAAAAATATTTCTTCCTGTCTCCCCTTTTTCCTGTTCTTAAAACTGTAATATGGTTTATTTCTGTTTTTTACTAGTTCTGGCGCAATTTGGACCACACGATGATTATACAAGATTTTAGACCATTTCTAAGTAGCAATCCACTGGACCAAGATAATAGAGCCAATGAGAGAGGTCACCAAACTCATACTGATTTCTGGGGACCAAGTCGACCTCCACGGCTGCCAATGACTCGGAGATACAGATCGCAAGGAAGTACTCGTCCTGATAGATCCCCAGCTATTGAAGGGTGAGTGCACAATTGTTTTAAGTTCTATTTAAGGGTAGTTTTAATAAAAGACATATTGGCTTAATCTAATCTTTATAAGGTTCTCATACTTACTACCTTTGTGGACAAGATACATAGACAGAATGAAAATGAAGCTAAATTGAATGTCTGTACTCAACTCACACCAGTTAACGAATGATGATAAAGGGCAATAAAACTAATGATATAGGTCTCTGGTTAATGTTTTTATTAATGCCTCAGATTAATATAAGTTTATTAAAATTTCATAAACTAGTGAAAGGGATATAAATATATTGGGTGACATTAGAATTCAAAAAGACCTCAGCAGATGGGAGCAATGGACTTGATATGAAATTTAATAGGTATAAACATAGTCTTGTGACTGCCCAAAACAGTCATGCAACAAATGTCTAGTAGAGTCTTTTATGCTACAGCATTTGTACTAGACACTAGGGATGCAGTGGTAAGCAAAACACCAGTTGAGTGGTGGCCCCTAATCTCATGGATTCCATTTAGTAAGAATAAGAAACAATTTTAAAATTATTTGCCATATTCCCTGGCAGTGGCTATAGAGTGTTGGCCTGTGCAGCAAAGGGTCATGGGTTTGATACCCGGTCAAAGGCACGTTACCTGGTTGCAGGTTTGATCACTGCCTGGGTCAGGGCTGTGGGGGAGGCAACCAATAGATGTATCTCACATCGATGCTTCTCTCTCTCTTCCCCCCTCCCTCCCTTGTCCTACTCTCTCGAAAACCAGTGGAAAAAAAGATCCGTGGGTGAGGATTAACCAAAAAAGAATAATTGCCACCCTGGCCGGTTTGGCTCAGCGGTTAGAGCATCGGCCTGCAGTCTGGAGAGACCTGGGTTCGGTTCCCACTAAGGGCACATACCTCGGTTGCAGTTTGTCCCAGGCCCTGGTTGAGTTGTGTGGGTGGTGACCACTTGATGTGTCCCTTTCACGTTGATGTTTCTCTCCTCCCCTCCCCCCCACTCTAGCTGAACAAAATATCGAAAAATGTCCTCAGGTGAGGATAAAAAAAAAAGTATAATTGCCATGTGCATAGGATTGTGCTTTATGCTCTATCTGCTTATTTCATTTAATCCATATGAATTAGTAGCTGCTATTGGTATTCTCATACAAGATAAGACTCAGGGAAATGAAAACTGGATTAGTGGTGGATCCAGGAATTGAACCCAGCAATATATGAACTAGAACTGTACTAGCTAATGCTACAGCCACTAGCCACATGTGGTTATATCAGTTTACATTAAAAATTAACAGCCCTGGCCAGTTTTGCTCAGTGGTTAGAGCGGCGGCCCACAGACCAGAGAGTCCTGGGTTTAGTTCCTGTTAAGAGCACATACCTCGGTTGCAGTTTGTCCCCAGTCCCGGTTGGGGTCGTGTGGGTGGCAACCAGTCGATGTGTCTCTCTCATATCAATGTTTCTCTCTCTCTTTCTCCCTCTCTCCCTCCTGCTCTATCTGAAGATAAATGCAAAAATGTCCTCTGGTGAGGATTTAAAAAAAAAAAAAAAAGTTAACAAAAATTGCCCGGCTGGTGTGGCTCAGGAGTTGAGTGTCAACTCATACACCAAGAGGTTGCCAGTTCAATTCCTGGTCAGGGCCCATGCCCACATTGTGGACTTGATCCCTATTAAGGAGCATTCAGGGGGTGGCCAGTTGATGTTCTCTCTCATCGATGTTTCTATCTCTCTTCTTTCCCTTTCTCTCTATCTAAAATAAATAAAGAAAAATTATTAAAAAAAAAAAAAGTTAACAAAACTCAAAATTTCTCAGTCATACTAGCCACATTTCAAGGGCTCAGTAGCAACAGATAGCCAGCTAGAAATTACCATATTTCACAGAACGGGTTATAGAACATTTCTGTTATCTCAAGCTCCTGTTTGGACAGTGCTGTTCTAGAGCCTGCACTTGCTCCCATGCACACACCTTCTAGATTTTACTATTAATATTTTATTATACTAGCTTTATCACATATCTATCCATCTATTTGTTCATTAGTTTTCTTATATTTTGTGAATTTCCAGGTTATTTTCAGATATTCCTTCTTAGGACAGTTATAGGATATGGAAATCCAATTTAATGGGATTGTCTAGGACAAAGGCCAGATAAATCTTAGACTGTTTTTGTTTGTTTGTTTTATCTTCAACCGAGGACATTTTTGCATTTATCTTCTTCAGATAGAGTGGGAAGGAGAGAGGGAGGAAGAGAGAGAAACATCAGTGTGAGAGAGACATATTGAGTGGCTGCCACCCACATGACCCCAACCAAGGCTGGGGACAAACTGCAACCAAGGTACGTGCCCTTAGCGGGAACTGAACCCGGGACTCTCCAGTCCACAGGCTGATGCTTCTTAGACTGTTTTTTTTTTTTTTAGTTTTTTTTTTATCCTCACCTGAGGACACTTTCCCATTTTTTGTTCAGGTAGAGTGGGAGGAAGAGAGAGGAACAGAGAGAGAGAGAGAAACATCGATGTGAAAGGAACACATCGAGTGGCTGCCACCCACACGACCGACCAGGGCCGGGGACAAACTGCAACCGAGGTACGTGCCCTTAGCGGGAACTGAACCTGGGTCTCTCAGGACCGCAGGCCGACGCTCTAACCGCTGAGCCAAACCGGCCAGGGCTTCTTAGACTGTTTTAATAACTTCTATGATCAGAGGTAAATCCACTGTGTCCAGTGCCAGTTAAATTGCCTGTAGATTACTTTCCCTTCTCTGCCTGATGTAGACCCTAAAATTGATCTACTCTAAAAACTTGTGTCTCCTGTGCACTTTTTTCCCCACCCACCCACAATCTACCAATTTTGGATTAGTGCTGTTGTCAGGCTAGGTTTCCTTACTCCTCCACCAGGGGATGCTGCTGGCTGAAAATCATTTAAACGAACCCATTGTAGCCCCTGCAGCTGGTACAGTGCATTTAATCTCCATTAGACTCACTGTTTTCGATTAGCTTTTCAATTTGCATTCCTCTCATCAAATATTTTTGAACTACCACAATTTTACTCTCCAAATTTTCTCTCCAGTAGCTGATTTTAGCAACTGATATGTACTTCATTATGAAAATTGGGGCTCTAGGCATGAACTCCACAAATCCCTGTGCCCAACTTTTACACCAATATCTATTTCTCCCTCCAGTCTCTTCAGATGAGGTGTTCCTTTTTTTTTTTTATCCTCACACGAGGACATTTTTGCATTTATCCTCGGATACAGCAGGAGGGAGAGAGGGGGGAAGAGACAGAGAGAAACATTGATGTGAGAGAGAGAAACATCGATGTGAGAGAGAGACATCGACTGGTCACCAACCACACAACCGCAACCGGGGCTGGGGACAAACTGCAACCGAGATACATGCCCTTAGCGGGAACCAAACCCAGGACTCTCTGGTCCGTGGGCCGATGCTCTAACCGCTGAGCCAAACCTCCATTTTTATTTTTGTAATCCTCACCAGAGGACATTTTTTGATATTTTGTTCAGATAGAGTGGAAGGGAGAGAGAGAGAGAAACATCGACGTGAAAGGGACACAGCGAGTGGTTGCCACCCACACGACCCAACCAGGGCCGGGGACAAACTGCAACCGAGGTATGCGCCCTTAGTGGGAACTGAACCCGGATCTCTCCGGACCGCAGGCCAAGGCTCTAACCGCTGAGCCAAACCGGCCAGGCTCTATTTTTTTTTTTTTTTAAAGCACCTCCATCTGCCCATATTTCTGATCTATTCCTCTGACCTATTCTAGGATTTCTTTTTTTTTTTTAAATTTTATCCATTTTTTTCTCTCCACTTTCTTCCTTCACTCCCGTAACTGGCCCTTGCTCAGTTATAATCCCCCCTCCCCTAACACACACACACACTTTGGCTCTGTGCATTAGTGTTACTGAGGATATATTTTAAAATACTTCCTTCCCACACCTCCAGGATTCTGATTTAACTATTTTATGTGAGGTCCAGGCATTGGTAATTTTTAAAAGCTCCTGAGGTTATTCTGATTGTAGCCAAAGTTGAGAACCACTCCTTTATTACTACCCAGTCTAATTTCCTTTCCTTTTCAATAACATTTTCTCATCTCTCGTTATTCATATACTACTATAGTCTGGCCCTCTTCTCACTAAAATCTATGGTGCCCTTCTAGATGCAAACTCAGAGGCTACTTTAGATTCTTACTGTATTGGTCTGATTCACTGAATTCAACATTTTTGGTCTTTTTTTCCCCTCTTGAAATCTTATACTTCTGAATTCCATGATATAACATTTTTTTGATTTACCTTTATTCTGACTTCCTTCTTGTGTGTACTTCCTAAATATTTGTTTTCCCACAGTGTTTCCTTTATTCTGCTTTTCCTCTTACTCTGCAACAGTGTTTCTTAACTTTGGGACTATGGAATTTTGGGCTGAAAAATTCTTTGTGTGGAGCTATCTGTACATGGTATTATGTTTAGCAGCATCTGTGTCCCTTTACCTACTATATACAGTAACCACATTCTCACGCCCACCCTCCAGACATTGCCAGATGTCCCCTGGAGGAGCAAATAATGTCCCTGGTTGAGAACCACTGTGCTACAAACTCTGGCCATTCTCAAGTTCTCTTGTGGTTCTCTTTTTTTTTTTATCCTCACCCAAGGACATTTTTTGATATTTTGTTCAGATAGAGTGGGAGGGAGAGAGAGAGAGAGAAACATCGACGTGAAAGGGACACATCGAGTGGCTGCCACCCACACGACCCAAACAGGGCCAGGGCCAAACTGCAACCCAGGTACGTGCCCTTAGCAGGAACCGAACCCGGGTCTCTCTGGACCACAGGCTGACTCTCTAACCGCTGAGCCAAACAGGCCAGGGCCTCTTGTAGTTCTAACAGTTGTCTGTATACTCAAGACTCCCAGATCTGTATTTCTCTTTTTACCTTTTCCCCTAATTTAAGACTTGACTGTATAACCTCTTGTTAAACATTTCCATAGATACTCCAAACTCACTAAAGAGGAAACT